TGTATTGTCTTCCCATAGCTTCTTCTAGTAGGTGTTGGTGGGGTCTCTCCCTCTCTCTATGGTACTTCCCTGGTGGGCTTAGGTGGGTCAGAGGTTTGATGACTGTAGCTCTGGATGGTCCAAGCTCTCCAGGAGGTCTCTCCACAGGGAGGGGCCCGGCGATGGGGGTCACAAATCAGGCTCCAGGAGAAGACTTGCAATGGGGATCAAAGATTCCAAAGGCTGGGACTCAGGATGTTCCTTGTGCCTATAGGCAGATCTAGCCTGGGCCTGGCACTCTACAGCTGAGGCCTCTTTAGCAGAGGCCCTGCGATGGGGGTCAATGATCCTGTAGGCAGGAACTCAGAGTGGTCCTGCAGAGATAGGCAGATCTCTGGGAGGGGCCAGGAACTCCAGTAGAGGTCCGGCGGTGGGGGTCAGAGATCAGGCAGGTGGAGATTACGGGTGGTCCCTCATGGATGGGTAGGTCTCATGTGTTCAGAGCCACTCTGGGAGATTCCCCAAAGTTGTCTGGATTGTTGGCTCCACCCTCTGTCCCAGTGCTCAAGGAGAGACTAATTTATCTACCATCATAGAGCCCTCATCTAGTAGCTGATGTAAACAGAAGCAGATACCTATAGCTAAACACTGAGATGAACTCCTGGAATCCTTTTGCAGAGAGGGAGGAGTGATAAGAAAAGGGTCAAGACATAGGCTACAGAAACCCGCAGAGACAGCTGACCTGAAAGGGGGAAGTCATGGTCCTCTGGCCTGATAGCAGGAAACCAACATTGTACCGACTCAAACCCCCTGAACGTGGGTGTCAGTTAGAAGGCCTGGACAGTCTAAGGGACCTCTGCCAGTGGAACCAGGATGTATCTCTGGTGCACAAAAGGACTATGGGAGCACATTCCCCATGGAAGGGATGCTCCCTTAGCCTAGAGGCAGGGGGGAGGGCCTAGACACTACTCCAAATGACAGATTTTGATGATCCCTCCTGGAAGGCATCACTCTCTCTGTGGAGTGGGGGGGATGTCATGGCAGGGGCTAGGGGGCATGGGAGGGAGCGAGAGGGAACTGGGATAGATATTGAAAATAAAAAACTGTTATATATACACATACATACATACATACATATGTTCCCTTCGTGGTGTGTACTTACAATAATTCTCAGATGCTCGAGATATCAATGAAAGGTCTTGTCACAGGGAATGTTAAATAGCTCCACCCTGTGCCAATATTTCGTGCAAAAAAACATTGGAAACATACAATCAGTTTCCACAATCTATAATTTTCCACTAATTGGATGATATATTGTTGGCTGATTCTAAGGCAGGAGATCTTAGAAAAAAATGTTTGAGGAAGTAAAGGAAGTTTTACTTCACTGGGGATTCCAAATTGCCTCTGAAAAAAAGACAAGGAGGAGATCCTATCAGTTATTTAGGATATAAAATAGGTTTACATAAAATCAGATCATGAAAAATACAGATCAGAAGGGCCTGATATCAGAATATATATATATTTCTTATTTTGCATGTCAATCCCAGTTCCCTCTCTCTCCCTCTCTCCCATTCCCCCTCTTAATGATCTTCAAAAATTGCTAGGAGAGATTTCATAGCTACAGACTATTATTGGAGCAGAAGGACATGAGATAAAAAATTTGAAAAAGACCCTAAAAGAGGTCAAGGACTTAAATAGTCCAAGAATATCATCAGCTGAAGCTAAAAAAGAATTAGATTGTAGAAAGGAGAATACTAGAGGCATAGGTGGATCGTGTGGATCCAAAGCTCAACTGAGTGTGTACCCTTCAGAGCATACCGTTCAGAAGAGGGAAGATGTCATATTGGAATGGATATTTCTACCATATAAACTGAATAAAAATGATTTCTGATTTTATTTTAAAAGGAAAATTAAGACTTCAACAACTGAGAGGAATACATAATGGATATTGGCAAATAGCTTGCAGTAACTTGAGCAACAACTATCTCAAAAGTGAAAGAATAAAATTCATATAGATAACCATTTGGATCCTTCCATGCATGGTAAGGAAAACACCCATTTCTGGAGTTCATATATTCTACACTGATGCAAACTAGTCAGGTAAGGCAGGATATAAAACAGGAAACATAAGTAAAGTGGTTCAAAACCTTTAAAACTTGGTATAAATTGTACCAAGGCAGAATTGTATGCCATTCTCATGGTTTTTATGGATTTTACAGAACCTCTCAATAAAGTTACCAACTCTCAATATGCAGAGAGAGTTGTCTTACCCATTTAAACTGATGAATTTATTCCTCATGATACAGAATTAGCTTCATTGCTCATACAATTACAGGAAATAATCAGGAATAGGACTCATCTGTGTGTGTGTGTGTGTGTGTGTGTGTGTGTATACACACACACCAGGTATTCTAGCAAAGGCAATGATGAAATTGACCATTTATTAATAGGAAATGTGTGGGAGTCCTTGAATTTCATAGAAACACCAGGTGAATAGCAAAGTTTTAAAAATAGATTTCTTTCCATCACCTGGCGACAAGTTAAGGAAACAGTAAAAACGTGCCCTACTCATTCCTTCTGTAACCAAACTCCTTTACCAGCAGGTAGTAATTTTAAAGGTATACATAGAAATGAAGGGGCTGGATCAATGGCTCCGTGGTTAAGAGCACGATCAGTTTTTGTAGAGGACCCTGGTTCAAGTCCAAGCACCCACATGGCTGTTCACAACTGTCTGTAACTCCAGTTCCAGGGGATCCCATACCCTTATACAGACATACGTGCAGGAAAAATGGCAATGCACATAAAATAAAAATAAAAAAATTATTAAAAAGTAGAAATACATTGGGCAATAGAAAAAAATTTCTGACCTAAATCAGACTGTGCACTTCAAGGACACACACACACACACACATTTTGAAGTTATTATCCTTGCTAAATTATTTTGGGAAGCTTCAGCCATTGAGCAACTATGTTTCTGAGAATTACAGATTATAGTTGCCCATGCTTCTTATACCTATGAGGTTAGTTAGACATAGATAGGATTTTCAAATATTTCAAAGACTTGTAGAATATGTCATTTAAACGTTTTAATAATTAGTACTCCATTGACATGAGACACAATTTCTTCTGATAGGACTGAGCAATCCCAAAGAGCATGTTGGGTACCGATTACACACCATCTGGGATTTATTGTTTCCCTAATTACTGGCCTCTTGGGCAATGAACTACCCCCATGGTTGATCTTGGACATGCTGTCTTAACTGAACTTTCAGGAGATAAACTTAAAGAAGATTGACTGCTGAAACCTGTCAAGTCATGGTAAGACAGTTTTTCAATTTTCTTGATTCTGAGATGGTCTGTCTTATAATTTAGGCCTTAGCTAATGTTGGTCGCCCTGACATTGCTGTGAGTCCTTGGGTGACTGTCCAGGTAGCCAGTTGCTTCTGTCTTCACTTGTAACTCTACGAAGTCACACGATTGTGCTTCCTGCCAACTTTAGTATTTTTTTTTAAATTGTTACAAATATTTATTTAAAAGTGCAATTTAAAAGTCAGCTGGGTAAGCACATCATTGGGAAACAAAACAAAAAAGGGATCCTAAATCAAATCCCAAGGAATATGAACAACCCAGGATTTCTTTCTTTCTTTCTTTTTTTTTTTTTTTTTAAAGTTGGTATGCTAAGAAATACACAGAAAGGCAAAGCGAGAGGTCAAAGGTCAAACTCTGTCCAGCTGCTGCTCTTCCCAGCACAGAAGACAACTGAGTGGCAGCAGCCTCCTTTGTGAAGGGCTAGCTCTGGGCCTGACAGCTACTTTAATACCAGGTTATACATCAGGGACGTTATAAAAAATCCTCTGGATATGAGCAAACCGAAGCATCTAAAAAGCTACCCGAAGCCTGAAGTTTAGTGTCAGCAGCTCTCAGCTGCTTCAACCCAATAGACCATCTGTCAGTGGATTTGGACCGGCTCAGCTATTCAAATGCATGATGGAGTCAAGGTGTCATCTCAGAGAACAAAGAATCAAGTTCTCTTAACCACCAAGCTATTACTCACAGAGTAAGGGATGTCTGATCCAGGACCAGCCTGTTTGTGTCAGGACAGCTTCTGCATAAATGTAATATATGTCTGACATTCCACCTCACTCAGAGTGCCATTGGAATAGGCACCAGAGGAGAAGGCATGCCCCACCCAACTGAGTGCTGTTCAACACTATGTGGATGGGTGCTCTAAGAATGCAGCTGCACCTCTGGGGAGAAATCCCTGGGACAGACAGTCAGCAGGGCTGGCCCGGCCTCTGCAGACATCACCAGCCCTTCATCAAGCTGGACAACATCGGTGCTGTTGCTCTCAACTGCGCCTGTCCATTAAAGCCATTTGTCCTCGGCACTCCCAAGCCCCCAGGGATTTCATTGTTTCCTACTGCTTAGCCCTGCCACAAACACACCTGGAAAAGCAATTTAATCTCAGCTCTTACCCAACAAAATGAAAACACTGCATTTCTGTTACAAAGTGTTTCTGAGCCTTCTGTCCTCCTCAACAGCCAGCTCTTGGGGGCTAAGAAATACAATGCAGTGGGAAATGTCCACCCCCAAATGCCCCATTTCTGCCAGGTTTCTTTTGAAGGGACAATGCCACCCATCTAAGCAGCGAAAGGGTCTGAGCAGAGGGAAGGAGCTGCCAGAGACCAACAGAATGAGCAACAGAGTAAGTGGGGCTCTTATTTCCTCTGATGACTCTGAGTCTTCCTCCAGGAGCAAGGTCCAGTAAGGCAAAGCAGTGGCTAGCTGTCCTCGGAAGGATGGGCTGCCGAGGCTTCTGCTCTCCAGCTTCAAGTGTGGTGACCGCTTTCCTCTTCCAGCCTTGCCCTTCCAGCGCTGGGAGAGAGAGCTGTCTCAGTGGCAGCGTCACATGGAGGAAGCAGGGCAGAGGCGTGTTTCTGGGAGAGGAATGTAAGTGGCCGAGTGCTTGCTTCTCTTCTCCCCTGAGTCCCTGTGCAGAAGGGCCTGGGGAGGGGGGGGCGTTACAGCACCAGGAAGAGGATCAGCACGACCAACAAGACTGCGAAGAGGATGGCTATGGCACACCACTGTCGCCGATCGCTGGTCATGTGAGACACTTTTGCAAGTTTCTTCATCACATTGTCCAGTCGAGACTGAGTGCTCTCCAACTCATGAGAGAAATCATCTAGCATGACTGCCTGTTCCTCCAGCTCCCCTCCGATGCACTGGGTCATGTTCTTCAGCATCCGGATGCTGCCAGAGACCAGCTCCAACTGCTCATCCTGCTGTTCCACAATCAATTGCTGCTGTGCCTGCTGCTCCTCAATGAAATGGGAGTTGGCTAGCTGCAGCTCTCGATCAAGGCGCCCGTATCGATCCGTTACTCCAGCATTCCAGTTCTGACTGCTGCTGTCTCCTAGCAGTGCCTGTCTGTTTTTCCTTTCAGCCTGAACGGATGAAGTTGACATCTGATCCTTCATGTCCCTGACAATTTGCCGAGTACTTGTGATGAAGGCTTTTCTTATGCTCAATTCTGTTGCATCCAGGTTGAATTTTCTAGGATTTGCTTCAACTATGCTGATGGTTTCATCAAGGTCCTCCAGATCCCACTCTATGCTGCGGAGGTTGTTCCTCAGCTCATTGGTGGTCCAGTCGATGTCCTCACTTGTTGCTGCAGAGGGACCCTGAAGGTTCTGTCCATCTCTGAAACAATCCTTGGGCAGTGTTGACTGCTTTCTGTACCTCTCCTTTCACCACAAAGAAGGGGTCCTCCATGGACATGGTGCCCGGCCCGGCAGCCCGAGCCCTCCCTGATGGCTCCCGTGGCCAGCGCCTCGGCCGAGTGACCAGGAGCAGCGGTGCTTGCAGACCTGGGTGCCGGACGGCCGCCGGTCCAGCACTCGGTCAGCGCCGTGGGCCGAATCCCACTCCAAGCCGGCCCCCACGGCAGCCTCCTCTCCCCCCCAACTTTAGTATTGTTATTTACCTTCCCAGGTCTTTGATGAGGTTGAAGACTATGAAATCATAGCTATCTCCTTGCTTATCTTAGATAGACAAGACTTCTACTTTGCAGATTAGGGTTCCTATTGGAGTAAACTCTGTCATGCTTTTACCCTGATACTGGGCTTGTAGTACTCATTCTCACGCTTGCTGGTAGTAGGTTTTAATTTGTGTATGTTTACCTTTCATTTTCCTGGAATGTATTTGGCATTTGCATCATTGTATGTCGTTTTTTGCATTGGGCTTAAAACCTTCTTTAGACTAAAAGAGCAATTACAGCAGTGTCTTGCCTGTTAACCTGTAATGGTGCCCACGCCCCTTTGGGCATGGCTTCAGGCAGAGGGGAGCATAAAGAGAAAAGCAGAGGCATGGTCTCTCTCATGCAGTCTTTCTCTTGGGTCACTGGATCCAACCTGAAGGGCTGAGAAACACTGCAGTGGTTCTTCATTATAATCTTTTAAATGTTCCCCAATAAACACCCATTTATCATCATCTTGGGTCCAGTGAAATCACTATGCCCACGCCTTTAGGTATTGGATGGTTACACCCTCCATGTTTGTGCCACCATTGTAGTAGCATATTTTGAAGACAGGACACCATTGTTGATCAAAGGCTTTTGTGACTGGTTTGGTATTCATGCTTTTCTTTTGGTATCTTGTGCAGTACCTTCCTGTGCCAGCAATGCCAGGATGTAGGTTATAGGGTGAAGGATCTATGCAGGCATGAGCTTGACTTCATCCAGTTCCATGAGATGTACAGGTGTTGCATTCAGCAATGCGACCCTGCTCTCAGTTTGTGCAGAGCAATTTACGTAGTTTTAGTAACCCATTTTGGTATAGGATGCTTCATTTGGTGACAAGAAATCCCCAGATGAGGTTCTGTCTATTTTGTTATTTGTCAATTTCTCTTAGATTGTCCTCATATATGTATGAGTTTTAGGATGCTTCTCTTATATTAGGTCTCCATATTACCATTCAGATGGAACTAGTTTAGCGGTCTCTCCCTGTGGAGGTATATTGACTGATAGAAGTGGGTTAATAATTAAGAAAGACCTACCCAAATAAGAAGCCTGAGCCAGTAGCCAAACAGTATATAATCAATATAAGTCTCTGTTTATTTAGAAATTTCTGTCCGGAGTGAGGTGAGGGATACTGGGAGAAATGGAAGCAGTGGTTGGGATGTACTGTACATGAGACCAATAAATAAAAAAATTATATATATATAGTGGTCAAATAAAATACATTCAATTTATTTTTCATTTTTGAAGGTTTTTCATTTTTAATGGCATTTTTGAGTTTCATATATGAGCCTTGCATATAATTCACTACTGATCCTCTTAACCCGCCAACTCTCCATCCCCAAATTTATCTTTCCTATGTATGTAAAAACCTTTTCTATATATGTGTGTGTAGAAAACTCCTGAGGACTGTGGAAATTTCCTTTTCAACTCAAATACTAATAAAAATTGATGAATTGATTTCACTTTGCCTTTCAATTAACTCTAGAATTGGAAAACGTGGGCAGTGTTGATGATTTGTTTGTTTCTGAGAGTAGATGTGACTATGTGGACTAGACTGGCCCTGGGCTTGCTATATTACCTAGGCTAGACTCAAGATCATGATGTTTCTTTATCAGTCTTTCGAGATCTGGGATGACAGGCATGTGGGTACTAGACACGCATGTTTGCGTGCCCACAGTTCAACGGTAGGGAGGGTGTTACTATAACCATTAAGGCCTATTTTCTATAAACACTGAAATGGATGTGTTCCCAAAGATAATATCATTCAAACCATAGAACCTCTACAACCTTCATGTTTGCTCAGTCTCCAGTAAGCAGCTACTGGTAAATATTTGGGGCAAACACATATCCTCCTGGGTGTCTTTTATGAAGAATCTTTGTACACTTGTTATCTCCAATACATCATTTTAGGAGGAACCAATTGAAAGGAGTGAGTTGTACCCCCTTATTCTCTGTTTGCTCAGAAGAACAGCATTAAGTATGCATTTGACAGATAGAGCTCCAAGAAGGATCTAGGAGTTTAACCTCTGAGTTCTTATCTCTACCTAAAAATATGCAAAGATGCTGAAATTTCAAGGTCAATCTGTTACCATGGAGACTTCCCTGAGAATGGGGGGGGGGGACAGTAGTTATTACCCCAACACTTACATGTATCCCCTCCTGCATTTGTGGTCCTCAGCTTTGGAGGTATATGGAATGAAAGAATGAATACTATTAATTTTATTAGCCTCTAGTTGTCACATTGTCCCACTAATCTGTAATCCTACCTTTAATGGCTCGTCATCTGTTCTATCCAACTCTTTCACTGGTGTCCCATGGTGCTAAGTCAAGCAAGTGGAGAGTCACACACCTCATTCCCTGCAGAGAGTGCCTGCCTTGGGGATTTTAGGTGAGCCAACGTCTTTACAACACTTGGTCTCCATTAGATCCCCAAAAAGTGCATTCTTTGAAGGAAGCACTCTCATCAGCTTCTCCAGAAGATAAAATTTTGCCCATGATGTTGCCAATTCAACTAGCTACTGTGATGACCTAGGGAAGCTTACATAGCCACATAGACTCCACCTTTAAGAAATAGCCTTCAAATGACTTGACAGATTTTGTTGATTTTTTTGATTTTGTTGATCCCTCCTGGAAGACATCACCTCACTGTGGAGTGGGGGAGGTGGGATGGGAGGGTGTTGGTGGGGCATGGGGGAGGGAGAGACTTAGGGAGGGGGACAGGGGGAACTGGGATCAATATGTAAAATAAGAAAAAAACAATAAGAAAATAAATAGCCTCCATATACACACATCTGGTGACTAGGGTCTGACCCCAGCCCCAGGAACATGCTGTGGCAGCAGGAACTTGAGAAAGCATTCTAGATTCAGCCAATTAGAAGATCCAGACCTGCATGGTTAGATTGGGCAAACTCCATTCTCTGAACTCCAGATAAGCTTTATTTGTACAAGCAAGATATCACCATGTGTGATATCATCAGGCTATGAACTTTATGAGTTCCAGATGTACTATAATTTTTCTGTCAGCAGTTAATAATTTCCAAATGTACTCACAGATATCCCATTAGCTGTTTATGTTTTGGTATCAATAGTCTGACTAATTATTTTTAAAATTGTCTTGATCACTTACCACCTAACCCACCCTAGAAGGCATGCAACCCCCTGCTTATGGTCTCCTTTCCACTAAAAACTCACTCTACCTTAAGTTCAAGGCAACATTGTCTTCTTCTGCTGAGTCAGAGTGTGGATTGCATACTGGAGTTAGAGACTCTTATGTATTTGCATTGAACTCCAAATCCTTGACATGTTGTGGGGGGATCCACAATATGAGTATAAAAGTTACAATTGCCACTGCCCTAAGGTTATAAGACAGTCAAAAGACCAGCCAATAGCACAGGCATCTGTCCAGCCACTGTGGGAAATACCAGGCGCAACTTTCACCCAAGAAGAGTACAACTATGGTAACTAGACATGCTTATCTGAATGGGATGAGAGCTCTTCCATTGCTGTGGATAAATTATAGAAGAGATTTCCTCTTCGTGGTTACCCTTCAGAATCAGATTGATTCATTGGCAGCAACGTTGCTCCAAAATCATAGACAATTTGATGATGGCAGAAAAGGAAGGCATATCCATGGGTTTAAATGAAGAATTCCATTTTCATGGTGATCACTCAAAAATAATAGGAGAAAATGCTGAAAAGTTCTAGAAATGATTAAGGGTGGAGGTACAACTGAGAGGCAGTGAAGTGCAACATGGACCTCATGGGGACGCCACTGGCTCTGCTAATTGGGTTTCTTATGATGATAATACAAAGACTTCTGTTAGGATCATGTGTCTTAAATACCCTGACTATGTTAATCAGAACTAGAATACAAATAATGGACCTATAGGTGATACACCAGGTGGTATCAACTCATATGTTCATGAAAGATTCATAAGGTGTTTATGAAGGTTACAGAGGTGGGAATGAAGTAGAATATGGTAGAAAAGACCAAATATTAAATATTGATCTATTGGCAGGTTTTTTAATTATGTAAAGCTCTACTTGTATTGCCTGTTTCCAAGAACGACTTTAAGTGGAAGAAAAAGACCAGGAAATGTAGCTGAAATAAAGGGTCATTGCCCTTTATGACCAACTGACAACCAGGAAGCTTCAAAGAATCGAGCTTGCCTGACTGCCCCAGCTTGTGGTTTTAGAGTGTAAAATGGGACTGTAGACTGGACTTGGGACCAAAGCCTTTCATGAATTATCCTGGCTTCAGTCTACCAGTGACGCTCCTCTGTTCCATCATTTCTGCTTTTGGAGGGTCTGCTTGTTCCTGAAGGATTTCTGCAACGCTGCTTCAAAACTCTGAAGGTATTGTCACATTTAATTCTGTCACTCTGCCAAATACCACCCATGTGAACTCTCACACTTATATAAGTTTTGTTCTTCTGGGAAATCTAGAAGACTGTGCATTGTACTTTGCTCAACATTGGCAGGTGGGCTCTTAAAAGCCTTCTCTGAAACATATAAGAGCCATTTACATTCAAAACACGAGTGAACCAGACATGTCGGGGAGCCTCACTCAAGCCTGTTGTGGTATTAAGGTGATTGACAATATCGTCTTGAATAATAGATGTCAGATGGTGCCTGGCTTGCTGACTGTGAAGTCTTTGTCCTTTGCTCAGAATTTTTTGTTGAAAGATGATGATGTCATTATAGTGACCTTTCCTAGATCAGGTAAGGAAAGTGTGTGTGTGTGTGTGTGTGTGTGTGTGTGTGTGTGTGTGTGTGTGGTACTTGAAGTATTTTGGTGGTTAATCTATGTCTTAGCTACCTTTTTATTGATGTGAGTAGAAAGATACTCTGGCTGAGACAGCTTATAAAGGAAAATATTTATTGGAGTTCTTGCTTACAGTTTCTGAGTGTCTGTACATAATCATCATGGCAGGGGGCATAGTGGCAGACCAGCAGTAATGTCTATGTGGTAGTAACTTAGACCTCACATCTGATTCATAAATGCAGACACAGAGAGAAAGAGACAGAGACAGAGACAGGGAGTCACAGAGACAGACAGACAGACAGAAAGGGTGGCTTGTTTAAGCTTTGAAATCCCAAAGCCATCAACCTTGACATAGTTCCTCCAAAAAGGCCTACATTTCTTCCAACAAGACCACTCTTCTTAATTATTCTGAAGTAGTTCCACTAGCTAGAAATCATGCATTCAAACATATGAGCCTATTGGGGGGGATCCACATCCAAATTAAAAATATCTCTATGTTTTTCCCATGTCCATTGATCCATTTTTCATTTCCACTAAAATGTTCACCAAATATTCAAAATATTCAGTTTCCCAAACACTGTCCTTTGGAGCTCTTAAGAGGCACAAGTAAGGGTGATTGAGTAAAACATTGGTCAAAGTAAGTTGCATGTTTGAAACTAACAAGGAAAAAAAAACAGGTGCTGGAACCTCAGTCTGTGTTGCCAATGCCAGACCATGCAGCTGCTCACCCAACACTGTTAATCAGGCACTAGTGGTCCCAAAAAGTTCAAAGTCCAAGATGGCAACCCTCAAGGACCAGCTGATTGTGAATCTACTTAAGGAAGAACAGGCCTCCCAGAACAAGATTGAGGTTGTTGGGGTTGATGCTGTTGGCCTGGTTTTTGCCATCAGTATCCTAATGAAGGACTTAGCAGACAAGCTTGCCCTTGTTGATGTCATGAGAGACAAGCTGAAGGGAGATATGATGGATCTCCAGCATGGCAGCCTTTTCCTTAGATCAGCAAAAATATGTCTTTGGCAAAGACTATAGTGTGACTGCAAACTCAAAGCTGGTGATAATCAGAGCAGGGATGTGGATGTGAGGATTACGGTTATGAGATTGATGAGACTGCAGGAATTGAGGAAGGTTTAGCCAGGATTAAAAGGTGTAATGAATTCATGTGGGAGTCGTAAACCTAACAATGAAGCCAAATAAAACTGCTTCCATCGTCCATCGTTCAACATATGAAATATGTACTTTACTATGATAAGTAGCCCAAAATTTGGTTGTTGCCATTGTCCCCAAACCAGGAACACACTGGATGATTGAGATAGTCAGTCTGATTCTCTCCAAAGGGGACCCAACTTGGGTCCAAACTGTCAAAAGCCATACCAGGTGTCTATGGATTGAATATGAACAGTCACAGAAACTACTGATGGACCAGGATGGACCGCGTCTCATGGCTGCACATCTTCCCATACAACTGTTTCCCAAGTCTTACTTCACAACCAGTGCTAAGGTGAGTGGATGCTCAATTTTGTGATGAAATATAAAGCCAGTTTATACACTAGGGATGAGTCCTGTTCCCCCTGACTGTGGCCACATAAACTTCCCAAGGCACACAAATGTAACTCACTTTCAGAGGGCCTGGTTTATCCCATGAAGGTTCTCCAGATGTCAGCCTGGAGTCAGTGAATTCTCACTAACTTGAATAAGCTGCTTCTGTGATTATCCCCATCATGGTCTTGACTCATTTGCTCATATTTCTGCTCCTCCCTCTCTTTAACTGGACTCCATGATCTTGGAGCAGTACTTAGAAACCTACGTCTTCATCTGCTTCTAGCAGTTACTGGATGAAGGCTCTAGGATGACAGTCAAGGTGGTAACCAGTCTGATTACATGGGAGTGTCAGTTCAGGCACTCTCTCCACTATTGATTAGGGTCTGAGTGGTGTCATTCTTATGGATTCCTGGGAATTTACTTAGTGCCAAGCTTTCAATTAAACCCACAATAGCTCCTTCTATCAAGCTACCTCTGTCCTTGCTCTCCCTGTCGGTTCTTGCTCCAACTTGACCATTATCCATACTGATCCTTCCTGTTCTCCCCCCTTCCCTCCCCCTTCTCTTCCAGCCTCTCACTTCCCCCAGCCCCTCCCCCCATTTACTCAGGAGATCTTGTCTGTTTCCACTTCCCAGGGGAATTCATGTATGTCTCTATTGGGTTCTCCTTGTTACATATATTCTCTGGGGTTGTGGACTGTCGGATAGTTATCCTTTGCTTTATGTGTACTAACATCCAATTATCCATGTATGAGTACATACTGTATTTATCTTTCTGGGTCTTGGTTATCTTATTCAGGTTGGGGTTTTTCTACTTCTATCCCATGGCCTGCATTGTTCACTTTTTCATTTTTATTTTTAACACTAAGCAACACTCAATTGTATAAAAGTACCATATTTTCTTTATCTGTTATTCTGTTGAAAGGCATCTAGATTGTTTCCAGGTTCTGGCTATTACAAATAAAGCTGCTACGAACATTGTCGAGCAAAGGTCTTTGTGGTATAAGTGTGCATCCTTTGGTTATATGACCAAGAGTGGTATTTCTGGGTCTTGAGGTAGATTGATTCCCAGTTTTCTGAGAAACCACCACACTGATTTCCAAAGCAGCTGTGCAATGGAGGAGTGTTCCCCTTATTTCATATCATCTCTGTGTAAGTTGTCATGAGGCTTTTTTTTAATTATTATCTATAGTCATTCTGACAGGTATAAGATGATATCTCAAAATTGATTGGATTTGCAATTCCATGATGGTGAGCAATTCCTTAAGTGCCTTTCCACCAATTGAGATCCCTAAGTTGAGAATTCTGTTTAGATCTGTACACCAGTTTTAATTGGATTATTTTGTTTTTTGATGTTTAATTTCTTGAGTTCTTCGTGTAAATAGGAGATCAGCTCCCAGTGATTTGCGGGGACATTGAAGTTCGTTTCCCATTGTGTAGGCTGTCATTCACCCTGTCCATTGCCTAAGAAGTTTCTCATGCTCAGGAGGTCTCATTTATCTGTGGATTCTCTCAGTGTTTGTGCTACTGGTGTTTTATTTAGAAGTGGAGTCCTGTGCCTATGTTTTCAAGGCTTCTTCCCATTTTCTCTTCTATGAGGTCCAGTGTGGCTCAATTGATGTTGAGACAGTTATCCATATGAACATGAGTTTAGTGCATGGATAGATAGGGATCTATTTGCATTCTTCTACATATCATCCTCCAGTTATGCCAGCACCATTTGTTGAAGATGATTCTTATTCTCTATTTAAAAAATTTTTAGTTTCTTTGTAAAAATCAAAATTTCCCAGGTGAGTAGATTAATATCAGGGTCCTCAACTAGATTCCATTAGACACCCTATCTGGTTTTATGTTCCATTGCCAAGCTGTTTTTATTGCTAAAGCTCTATAATAGAGCTTGAAGTCACAGATATTGATGCCCGTAGATGTTCTGTTTGTGTCTTTTTTGTTATTTTACAAATCAATTTCAGTTTCATCTCCCTCCCTTTCTGTTTCAGTTTTCAGGTCTTGAACTGTTTGGATTGTTTTCTTCTTCTGTTTGATTTCTTTTTTCTTGGCTTTCCTTGCCTTCTTTAAGTGATTTGTTCATTGCTTGCATTTTTTTGGCTTGGTCTTTTCCTCAAATTTTCCCAATTTTTTGTTTGTTTTCTCTTCCATTTCTTTAAGGGATTTTCGCAGATCCTCTTATGGCCTCTAGCATTTTCATGAGGTTACATTTTAAGTCACTCTCTTCTGCTCCCTTTGCTTTTGTGTGTTCATGTCTAGGTGGTATATAGTTTGGTGTTTTCTTGTATTGCCATCTTCCCATCGCTTCTTCCAGTGGGTGCAGGCAGAGTCTCTCTCTTTCTACCCTGCTCTCCCGGTAGGTACATGTGGGTCAGGGGTTCGACATCTGTAATTCTGGATGATCCATGATCACTGGAGATCTCTCAAGCAGAGGCTACTCCAGGACTTATCATGTGGGGAAGGCAGGCTAGTATGCTCTCAAGCACTCAAGCAGAGGGCAGTCGATGGGGCCCAAAGATCAGGTGAGTGTAGGTTTAAGATTGTCCTGCTTGGATAGGCAGGTTCAGTATGCACAGAACCGACACAGAAAGTTCCAAGGAGATGGAGCGGTGTTGATCCTGTGCAGAGCCGAAGGCTCACCCCGAGTAGTGGGCCCAACAGGCCTAAGGACGTGGGGCCAGATGTTCCTTTAATTTAAAGATTGTTTGGCTATCCTGGATTTTTTGTTTTTTCCATATATAGTTGAGTATTGTTCTTTTTAGTTCTGTGAAGCATTGTGCTATGATTTTGATGGGGATTGCATTGAACCTGTAGGTTACTTTTGGTAATATTGCCATTTTAACTATGTTAATCCTATCCATCCAAGAGGATGGGGCATCTTACTTTTTTATGATATCTTCCTCAGTTTTTTTTCTCCAAAGATTTATGTTTCTTGTCATATGGGTCCTTCGGTGTTTTGGTTAGAGTTACCCCAAGATACTTTATGCCATTTTTTGGATATTGTGAAGCGTGTTTCTTTTCTGATTTCTTTCTCAGCCAATTTATCTTTTGTATATAAAAGGACTACTTTGTTTTTTTTTAGTTAATATTGTATTCTGCCATTTTACTGAAGGTATTTATCAGCTGTAGCAGTTCCCAGGTAGTATTTTTAGGGTCACTTATGTATTTGCCTTTATGATATTTAGGTGTGTTTCTTGTATCCCTAGTCTCTCCATGACCTTCATCATGAAGGAGTGTTTGATTTTGTCAACATCTAATGTGATGACCCTCTGTTTTTTTCATTCCTTTCAGTTCATTTATATGGTGGATTATCATGTGTGGAACCATCCCTACATCTCTAAGATGAAGCCTATTTGTCAATGGTGGATTTTGTTTGTTTTTAGATGAGTTCTTGAATTCAGTTTGCCAGTATTTATTTTATTGAGGATTTTTTCATCAATGTTCATGAAGATTATTCCATAATTCTCTTTCTTGGTTGAGTCTTTTTAAAGAGATTGGTGAATTCCTTCTGTTTCTATTGTGTGGAACAATTTGAGGAATACTGATATTAGCTTTTTTTTGAAATTCTGGTAGGTGTCTGCATTGAAATGATCTGGCCCCTTTTTTATTCTTACTTCTAATTTTAATTTTTTTTGTCAGGAGCCTTTTGATGCTGCTTCTATTTCCTAAGGGGCTATAGGTCTATTTAAATTGTTTATTTGGTCTTGATTTAGTTTTCACATGTGATACCTATCTAGAAAAATGATCCATTTCCCATGAATTTTTCAAATTTTTTGGAGTTTGGTGTTTTTTCCTGATTTCCTCAATGTCTGTTGCTATGTCCCCCTTTTCATTTCTGGTTTTGTTAATTTGCATGTTCTTTCTCTGCATTTTGATTAGACTGGATAAGGGTTAGTCAATCTTGGTGATTTTCTGGAAGAACTAACTCTTTGTCTCATTGTTAATTTCATTGTTTTCTTTCCTTCCATTTTATTGATTTCAGCCCTCAATTTGATTGTTACCTGTTGGATTTCTTTGTTTTTCTTGTAGGAATTTCAGCTGTGCTATAAACTCAATAGTATAAGATTTGCAGGTTTTTTTATTTAAGCAATTTGTGTTTTTAACTTTCTTTTTAGCACTGCTCTCTTAGTGTCCCACAAGTTTTGGTGAGTTGTGCATTCATTTCGTTGAATTCTAGGACGTCTTTAATTTCTTTGTTTATTTCTTCCTTGATCCAGTGGTGATTCACTTGAGCATTGTTCAATTTCCACAAGTTGTGGGCTTTCTGCAATCAGTGTTGTTATTGAACTCTAACTTTAAACTATGGTGAGCTGATAGATACAGGGGCTTATTACTTTTTTGTATTGGTTGATGTTTGCTTTGTTACTGTGTATGTGGTTAGTTTTGGGAAAGATTCCATAAGATGCTGGAGAATAAGTTATATTCCTTTGTGTTTGGGTGGAATGTTCTGTAGATCTCTGTTAATCCCATTTGAGTCACAACATTTGTGAATTTCTTTAGTCTTCTGTTAATTTTCTTTCTGACAGTCCTGTTTGCTGGTGAGAGTGGGATTTGAAGTTTCCCACTATTAGTATATGGGGTTTGATGTGTGATTTAAGCTTTAGTAATCTTTCTTTTACAAATGAGGATGTCCTTGTATTTGGAACATAGATGTTCAGAATGGAGACTTCAACTTGATGTATTTTTCCTGTGACAAACATGAAATGTTTTTCATTTGTTTTCATCAACTTTAGATTTGAAGCCTTTTTGGCAGGTGGCAAGACAGCTACACCAGCTTGTTTCTCAAATCTTTCCCAACCCGTTACTCTGAGGTTATGTCTATCTTTGAAGTTAAGGCATGATTCTTTTATGCATCTTAAGGCTGGATCCTTTTGTTGAATCCATTCTGTTATCCTGTGTCTTTTTATAGGCAAATTTAGCCCATTGATATTAATGACCAGTGATTGTTATTAACTGTTAGTTTGGTTTTGTTATTGTTGTTTGTATTGTGTGTATTTATTTCTGTTCTCTGTCTTTTCCTGGTATGCGGCTAACTATTGACTATGTTTCTTTGGATGTAGCTACAATCCTTGGATTGCAGTTTTCCTTCTAACACTTTATGTATGGTTGGATTTGGATAGGTATTATTGTATTATTTAAATCTTGTTTTGTCATGGAATACCTTTCTCAATGTGTATGGTGACTAAATGCTTTGCTGACTATAGTCATGGGGCCTAGCGTCCATGTTCTGAACAACATCTATCCAGGACCTTGTGATTTTCAGAGTTTCCATTGAGATGTCAGGTATAATTCTGAAATATCTGTTTTTGTATGTTACTCATCCCTTTTCATTTGCAGTTCTTAGTATTCTATCTTTATTTGGTATGTGTAGTGTTTTTTTATTTAATTATTTTTTTTAATTTTACATGTCCATCCCAGTTCCTTCTCCCTCCCTCCCTCTTGCCCAATCTCCCCCCCACATGCACCCTGACCACCCTCCCCTCCCCCATTCCACATGCTATCCAGGTAGGGTCATGTAGATTTGTCAAGTCATTTGAAGTAGGGACTAGGACTTTTCTCCTGTCTCTAGGTTAAGGGAGTATCCCTCTATGGGGGATGTGTCCACAAGGTCATTTTGTGCACTAGGAATACATCCTGGTTCCACTATCTGAGGTCCCTTAGACTGTTCAGTCCTTCTAGCTAAGACCCTTATTCAGGGGATCTGAGTCAGTCCCATGCTGGATTCCCAGGTATCAGTCTGGGGGGGGGGGAAGGCGTTAGCTCCTCCTTGTTCAGATCAGCTGTCTCTATGTGTTTCTGGAACCTGGTCTTGTCCTCTCTCTCTCTGCATCTGGAGTCTAGTTTAACTCAGTGATTAGTTATGGGTGTTTGCTTCTGTTTCCAACAGGTACTAGATGAGGGATCCATGATGGTGGATAGATAAAAGGTGTATTCTAAGAGATTCATATGAGGTCCCTCACAAAAGGGGGAAGGGACAAGTCCCCCAGAGCACCTAGGAAGTGGGGGGGCAGTGAATGAAGAGAGAACTAGGAGAAAGAGAAGGGGAGGAGAGGACAGCATGTCCGATTAGGAAGATTGAGTCAGGGTAGGAATAGAAGACGGGAGAGAGAGAGACACACACACACACACACACACACACACACAGAGAGAGAGAGAGAGAGAGAGAGAGAGAGAGAGAGAGAGAACATAGAAGAGGGAGCCGTTATTTGTTTGAAGAGAAAACTGAACCTAAAGAAATGTCCAAAGACCTACAAGACTGACTCCAACTAATGATTTGAGCAACCGTGGAAAGGCTACCATAAATGCCCTTCCCAGATAGTGAGATCAACAACTAATGTTTTGAGTATTATGTGGCAAGGGGACAGTGTTTGCCATCCAATCCGTTTGATGTTCTGTAAGCTTCTTGTACTTTCATAGGCATGCCTTTCTTTAGGTTTGAAAGTTTCCTTCTATAATAATATTGAATATATTTTCTGTGCCTTTGAGCTGAACTTCTTTTCCTTCTTCTATACCTACTATTCTTATGTTCAGTCTTTTCATGGTGTTCCAGATTTCTTAGATAGTTTGTGTTCAGAATATATTGCATTTAACATTATATTTCACTGAAGAATCTATTTCCTCTACCTTATCTGCAATGCCTGAGGTCCTTTCTTCCATCTCTTGAATTCTGTTTCTTTGCTTGCATGTGTACTTTCTGTTCATTTACCCAGATTTCCATTTCCACAATTCCCTTAATTTCTGTTTTCCTTATTGCCTCTGTTTCACTTTTCATGTATTAAATGATTTTCTTCACCACTTTGATTGCTTTCCTTGGCTTCCTTTAAGGAATTTGTTGATCTCTTCCAATTTTTGTTTGCCTTTTCTCCAATTCTTCAAGGGATTTTTTTCATTTCCTCTTTAAGGTGCTCTATCATCTTCATAATGTTATTTCAATGTCTCTTTTTTCTGCACCATCTGTGTTGGGATGGTCAGGTTTTGCTGGTTTAGGAAAAGTTGTTTATTGGTGGTGCCATATTGCCCCTTGTGCTGTTGGATGTATTTTTACACTGACATCTACCCATCTCTTTCTCCAGTTGGTGCAGGTGGGTCATATGGCTTAGGTGGTTGCTCTTCTTGTAGGTGGTTGCGGTCTGTGGTTCAGGTGATCACCTCTCCAGGTGCAGACAAGGTCCTGCCTCCAGGGTGGTTGGTATATTTGGGTATGGTAGGTGGTGTATGGAGGTGCTGCCAGGTCTCTGGTGCTTCAATGTATGGGATGGGCTCAGGATGTCACACCAGAGGTGAGGTCTACAGAGGTCATGGCTATCCAGCCACTCTCCTTCTGTTACAGGCAGGGCCAAGGTTCCAGTGGTCTCTTATTTGGTGGGGGCTGGTTAGGGTTGTGGGGATGTTGCTGCCAGGTCTCTGGGGCATTTTGGGTAGAGTGGGGCCCAGAACATACCATCAGGCAATAAAGACTAAAGAGCAGGTGTCTAGCCAGCAGCCCAAACACCTCCTACAGCTGCAGGAGGGAACAAGGCTGCTGGAGAAATATGTTTTATACTTTTGTTAATTGCAATCATACACTTGAAAACTAAAATGTAACCACAGTGTAATTTTTGTGCTTCGTGAAAGATATTGGTGAGGCATATAATCTGTAAGGGGAAACATAAAATCAATTAGAAACATGAAGAATGAGAGAGTTAGAAAAAAACCTGAGGAGAAGGAAAACATCTAGAACAAGAGAAGGAAATCTCAAGAAATTCTGTAAAGGAGGAACACAGAAGAATAAAGGAAATGCCAGAGAGTAACCATTGTGTGTGTGTGTCTGTGTGTGTGTGTGTGTGTCTGTGAGTGTGTGTGTGTGTGTGTCTGTGAGTGTGTGTGTGTGTGTGTGTGTGTGTGTGTGCGTGTGTCTTTTCCCTCTCTCCCTCAGATGAAATCTTAGTACACTGACTCCATGGATTGGCTTTGAGCCTTGCACTAATGGAGGCTGTTATGAATGGCAGCAGTATACTTCTTCTGGCCTCAAGATTTGGATCAATGGCATGTGTCTTAAGATCTGATTCAAAGGTTTCTGCCTCAAGATACAGATTGCTGGTGTGCCTTCCATTTCGGGATTGTAGTTCATTTCAGATACAGCCAAGTTGGCAACCAAGAATAGCCATTATTTACGTGTTTCTAAGGATTCGAAACTCTAGTCTTCATTTTTTGTGCAGCAAAATTTGAAGCACCTGGTTCTCAGACCTCCTAATGCTGAGTCTCTTTAATCCAGTTCCTCATGTTGTGATGACACCCAGACATAAAACTATGTTCATTGCTACTTCAATACTATAATTTAGCTACTGATGTGAAGAATGATGTATCTGTGTTCTCTGATTATCTTAGGGGACCCCAGGGTGAGAACTACTGTTTGCACCACTGAAACATTTATGTATCCCTTTAGAATTTCTTACAACATGGAACCATGCATACTTACAGTGGTTAATTAAACATCTCCAGATGGAAGATCAAGTTAATATTATTTACCTCAGAGTTAACAAAATGGTGGAAGAGAAGGCAACCCTACATTGAGACAATCATAGATGGAAGGAAAAGATTCGGGTCATCATTTGCCCTTCACATGTGTGTTGTGGCTTTTTGTAAATAGTTAAGCAGCTTGGTTTTAGGATATGCAGAAATTTCAATGCTGAAATGAAAACAGACATGTTAATAAACTCAATTTCTGTCTTTTAGGTTATTTATGTCATCAGGAATCCCAAAGATGTTGCCACATCTCTATATCATATATGTAGAGACTATCCTATTATGAAGAATTATAGGACTTTTGAAGAAATTATTCATTCATTTATCCATGGTGACTGTAAGTGGAAACTAACACACCAATTTTATGTCTTAAAATCAAGGCAGAACCAGAGGTCTGTGGTGCAGGTTTAAAACCTAAGTCTATGGGTCACAGTTTAAAATTTATTTAATGTTGGACTAGAAGGATGGTTTACACAAAAGAGTGTGTACTACACTTTCAGAAGTCCAAGGTTGATTCCCAGCATTCATTTCAGGATCTTCTCTACTGCTTGTAACTCAAGATCCATGGGTCTAGAACCCTCTTCTGTCATCTACAGACACTGAAATCTTATATATGCAAACCCACACACATATACATATGGGTGTAATTTAAAGTAATAGAAACAACTCTTTTATAATTTTAATCAATGAGTTGGGGCTGAAGAGATGGCTTGGTGTTTAAGAAAATTGGCTGTATTTCAAGAGGACCAGTGTTCAATTTCCAGCACCAACATGTCAGCTCACAACTGTCTGCAACTCCAATTCCAAAGTACACATCTCCCTCATAGAGACATTTATGCAAGCAACAAAAAAAAAATCAATGCTCATTAGTAACATAAATAAATCATTAAGTTTGTTTTTATTTACTCAGTGTGATGTCAAGAATTTTATGACTATCCAGATATATTCTGACTTTTATTTAACACATTTTTTTTTTCAATTCAAATATCAATTCTTCTTTGATATACCATACAGGTATGAGTTATCAGCTATCCTTTATTTTTACATTTTTTAACTGTTTTCAGATATTATATTCATTCATTTGGTGTACATGTTTATGGGGTTACACGATGAGGATGTCTTCTGTACATGATTCTATTACTGGTTGATGAATAACACCCTGTAGGCAGCAGGGCAACAAGATAGGTGGGTCTAGGAGAAGACAAGGATTCTAGGAGGTGTAGGCAGAGTGAGTCACCATGTAGGCTACCAGAGGTATAACACCATGCTGGGTATTACTGGGTATGCCACAGCCTTGTGGCAATATATAGATTAAAATAAATGGGATCATAATTAAGAAAGAGCTAGCCAATAAGAAGCCCAAGCCAACAGGCAACAGAATTGTCTGAAAACAAGTTGTGAGAATCAGCGCCTCCATTAACTATGTGGCTTTCAGTGATGAAACTTTCATTGAAGGGGCTATGGACACTTGTTTTTCCAGGGGCCTGTTTGCTAAGACTTCTAAACCATATGAACCCACTATCGTATGTTGACTCATGTCTGGCTTCAATGAGACCTCATGAAGGGCATCCAGTCTGATAGACAATCAGGGAACTACCTGGCCTCAAGCAGAAAGTGGTCTTGCCTTTTTGAGTCATACCATAGCAGGCAGTCCCCGGACACCACAACCAAAGTTTCTGATCAGATGCCATGGGCCAATGATAAAATGGCTCATGTATTAATAAAGAGTCTATACCCAACCACTTCAAATAACACTCAGCCACAGCTGGAATTCCCCTGAGCAGTCTTTAAAGGAGCTGCTTTACCCTCTCCTATAGTCAAAGATGTTTTGTGCAGGACCCAGCTTGCTGGTTTTTTTTTTTTTTTGAGAATAAGGCTGATTTCTGCAACTGCACATCAGGTGTCTTCGGGTCATTTAGAAAGATCCAAGGACCCTACAACATCACCAGACTTTGGGTCATGTGCCTTTAAGCACCGAACCATTTCATCAGTTCTTGGTATTTTCTTCCTGATTACTTATTATCTAATAAATATATGATTGCTAGGTAAAACACTTTTTGCAGGCATTTGGATTCTATCCAGCTGTTTTTAGACACTTTTTTTTTTGTTGTTGAAAGTTCTAAGAGTCAGGCTGAAACATGGTTCAGTGTTAAAGCACAATTTCTATTTTTTAGAGGAAACATGATCAGTTCCCAAGACCCATAAGATGGCTTACAACCATCTATAATTCCAAAATCACATTGTTAAGCTTCCTGTCCAGCTCTGTACCCACCTCAGTGTCCTCAAAGTAACACATGGATGCTTTATTAGTTATAATCGTGTTGGACACTGTCTAGGGCTTCTTATTGGCTAGCTCTGTCTTAATTACAAACCCTATTTTTAAAAATCAGTCTATGTATTGTCATGATGCTATGGCTTACCCAGTAATGCCAAGCAGGGTGTTACTTCTCCAGCAGCCTACATGGTGACTCACTCTCCCTACATCTCCCAGAATCCTGCTGAACCTACCTATCTTGCTGCCCTATTTCCCACAGTGTTTTATTCTTCAACCAATAATACAAACATATGCACAGAAGACATCCCTATCATTTCCTCATTTCGGGCAAAAAAAAAAAAAAAAAGAAAGAAAAAAGAAAAATTCTAACACAGTAAAATTGTGTCTCTCTGTGTGTGTGTGTGTAGTAAAAGAGGTATAAAGTAAGAACTATAGTAACAGCATTTAGTCCATTAACATTTAGCACAATTTAAAGAAAATATTATGTCATCTATCCTTTCTTTGTGAGTCTAAACTCTTAAATGTAACTTGTCATTTATCATAACTAAGGAAAACCATAACCAAAACTATCTGTCTTCAATTCCTTCAAACTCCACAGAAGGATAATATATAATCTCTAGAACTGTCAGGGAAGTTTTACACTCGTACTTCCTGTCTACTCTAATGTTTTTATTTTCCTTCTCAGGTCTTTGATGAGGTTGAAGACTTGACAGTCATAGTAATATCCTCTCTTATTTTAGACAGACAAGATTTAGAATTTCCGGGTTAGGACTGTTACCAGAGTAATCTCTGTCATGCCTTTACACTGATACTGCACATTCATGCAAAACATGTAGTATATACCTATTGCAGAATGTTGCTCTAGCTGATAGCACGTTTTAATTAGTGTATGTTTGCCTTTCCTTTTCCTGGAGTATAATTGACATTGGGTATCATTGTATACAGTTATTGCATCAGGCTTAAACCTTCTTCTTTAATCTAATAGGGGAATTGTGGGCATTGGGCTCTTGACCTGAAACGGCAGCCACACCCCTTTGGGTGTGGATTCGGGGAAATAGAAACGGAAAAGGAGGGGCTTGGGGCGTGGCTTTCCTTTGTGCATTCTTTCTGTTGGTTTAGCAGATCTGATAGGAAAACAAGGAAATGCTGAGGCAGGTCTTTTATTTTTCTGTGTAATTGTTCCCCAATATACCCACATTTATTGGTCTAGTGATATAATTACATCCCTGACTTCAGTTCCAAGAGATTCTAAGCCCTTTTCTTGTCTGTGGGAACACTGCACCCATGTGGACTACATACATACATACTAGCAAACATTCACATGCATGAAATAAAGTTAAAAAGTCTTTTAAAAACTGTAGATAGGAAGCATGTATAGGTTCTTTTATCTACAGAAAATGAATGTGAGCTATCTTAGCCAATGTCATAATTGTATTGTGGACCACTAGAGGGGCAACTTGACATCCATTACTTTCCTCAAAGTAAATAGTAATTTATAATCCAGATTAGAATAAATATTCATGAGGTACTAAGTTTAGTACTCACTTCCTTTTTCACCCTATCTACACAGTGCTTTATGGATCTTGGTTTGATCACATCCTTGGATGGTTGACAAGAAGAGACACAGAGAACTTCCTACTAATGTCCTATGAGGAGCTACACAGGGTAATTCCCCTTGCCCGGGCTTACTACATTCCTCCTATTTTTCTACCTTTGTTTCTTTCCTTTCTAATTCTCTAGGGGAAAACAATCAAGTAAGGCAGCAGGTGACTGTTAGAGTGAGCATCCCCTGTCTACTTGACACACCTGGAGGAGGGACTATTGATGGAGAAAAACGCCTGTACTGCATGTCTATGAAAGCATTTTCTTGATTAACGATTAATATAGGTAGCTGAGCCACACTGGCCCAAGCTTCATAAGCAGGTGGGCTTGGGTTGTTGTGAAAAGTTAGCTGAAAACACTGAGCTGACCTTCTGGAACCCTGTTGGAGAGGGGGGATAATAAGAAAATGGGGACAAGACCAGGGTATAGAAATCCACAGAGACAGCTGACCTGAACAAGGGGGAGCTAATGAACCCCTAGACTGAGAGCTGAGAATCCAGCATAGAACCAACTCAGACCCTCTGAACAAGAATCTCAGTTAGAAGGCCTAGAAAGTCTATGGGACCTCTGACAGTGGAACCAGGATGTATCCCTGGTGCATGAAAAGACTTTGGGGCACATTCCCCAAGGAGGGATACTCCCTTAACCTAGAGGCAGGGTGTTAAATAAAATAAAAAAAGTTAGCTGAGAAAGTCATAGTGAACTAGTTAGTAAGTAGTATCCCTTGGTGGTCTCTGCTTCGGTTCCTCCTTCAAGGTGATTCCCTGGCTTCACACCAGAATGCTCAAACCCCATAGGTGGATGAACCCCCCTACTCCCCCAGGTTGTTATTGTTCATGATTTTTATCATGGCAATAGAAAACCAAACTCACACAGGGACAGTGTATAAACAACAATCTTTCATTGTCTTCATGACCTCAACAATTTCTAACCCAGGCTGTAACTCACTCTTCTCCTAAAACTGCAAAAACAGTGGCTTTCCACCAGCACAAAAAATGATAAACGTTAGAATACTGAATGTCAAAGGATGTGTTTCCGCTGCCTGGTGTCCAATGTCTAGCAATACAGAAATTTCACAGGAAGAGTTGGCAAGGCTAACTTTTCTGTCTGAGGAGGTATAGGGGAAAATGCACTCACAGTCTCTTGTTGATTTCCTTCTTTAGTCCCCTCTTTCTTGATTTTCTTTCTTTATTGTCTTTCTCTATACTCTCGAGTTTTTTTCAAAGCTTTTAGACCCCAACAGCATCTTCTTGGCAATACAGTGGTCAAACAGTGGCATTCCTGTTCAAGTTCATGAATATCGATAAAAACATGTTATTCATCTCCATCACATGATTAAACATTTTATTTATTATAGGTTAAAAACAAATTTTTCCAAGAACACACGTGAACTCATATCCAAGCAACCTGAAACGGATAAACCACTGGGCAAGCAAGGTGCTCTTTTCAGGGTTTTCAATGGCATGCCACATCATGCAGTTATAAGGGGCCAAGTTCTTTATATACTTACCTTGAGAATTAATCCTGTAGGAATCCTAAAAGAATAGCAAATCTTAAATGAAAGTGATCAGCTAGCACATCACCTTCGGTCATCAGCCAAACTTAGCACGGAAGATTATCAGCCAGTAGTAGTTGGGTTTGCTTCATTCTTGTTCTCTGACCTTAAATGTTTCACTTTAACGATGTGCCTTTATACAATTTTCGCCTAACTTTGCTGTTCTCAAAGACATGTTTCACCTGTAAGGCACTCCGAGAGCTGTGAACACGTGTCCCAACATTAAGGTTAAGAGAATTTAAAGTAGCTTGGGTACTGGGGCTCAATCATTTGCCTTAACTTGAGCTATAATCCATGGAGCTCCTTAGGTGAAACTCACAGATGATGGCTGTGGGAAGTATCCTGGTATTTACATTTATTCTCCAAAGCTCTGAATTTACTATCATTTCTATTATCAAATTAGGCAGTACAGCTTAGGGAGGTGTCATCTTCTTGACAGTTCATAGGTAAACATGCCACATAGAATAGGATTTTTTCAAGAGATAAGCACACTATATTACGGGCAGCAGAGATCTCCCCATTCCACTCTCATCATGCTCGATACCAGAGAAAGGGAACTTCAGCAAACATTTAAAGGCGCAGCAGAAGCAAAAGGCCTCCCGGAGTGTGCAGTCCTATGGCCTCGGCCAAACGAGATTGGCTCATCAGAGGATTCCCTTCTGTTGGGCTGATAACTGCACCTTCAATTGCAACTCACCGCTCCTCTGGTGTGGCCAACAGCAATGTGTGGTTGATAAGTGTTAGACAGGTCTTACTAAAGACATGTGCTTCATATAAATGTTCCTCCAGTTCTGGTATAAGAATCTGTTGGCATTTCTTCAGGATAGTAGCCTTGCACATGTTCGAGTTTCAAGCTCGGTGTCGTTAGTGCATGGAAGTTGCACATCCTAACACCCTGATCACATCAGCACATTTGATGTGGCACCTTGCTTGATACCTTCAATCTTGGGCAAATGGACAATCAAAGGGACTACTGAATTGAAAAGTTAGGAGCGGGACATTTTATATAGAGTTCCAGAGAATGTACCAGCCTCAAGTCCTAATTCTGAACTAAGTTCTGGCCAATCTGCATCTCACCACTATAAGCTATATATTAAATGTAGCAATTCCAAAGATCTGAAGAATAGGGGATTTCATATAACTCTCTTTTTCAAATGCACTTCTATTGGCTGACATAATCCAGTGACCACTGAGATTCCTATTATGTTTTGTGGTATACAGTGTTTTAGAAATCATATGTTTGTTCACCACCTCCAATTTTCAAAGCAATTTACACCGATGTGGATTCATGAGCCTTGGCTTTCCAATAAAATTTGCCAATGAAAAGTTGGCAATGAAGGGTAACGATGATCATGATAGGGAGGACTAGGAAATATTACATGTATTCTCATATGAAATCCAGATTAGCAGTGTGTTGGGCACTCTGGGAAAAGGTAAAGATGGACTGTTCAGTTGAGGGTAAGGACCCCTATGGAGGGTTGAGACTGACAGCAAAGAATGTTAGGTGATGAGGTGAATGTGTGCTCAGTACAATGATAGATATGTATAATGCATGACTTGAAATTAGCCCAGCAGATCAGAGGATTAGCTGCTCTTCTATAGGACCTGAGTTTTGTTCCCAAACACATGCCACTTAGCAGAAATCTGCCTGTAAGAATTCCTTCAGGGCTATCTGATTCCTTTCTTTTGGCATCCTTGGACTCACACACATACACACACACACACACACACACACACATACACACACACACTAAACTTTTTCTGCAATCTGGGGCTGGCAGTCAGACTTAAGGAATGGATTTTCTTTACACAACTCCTTTATCATTTACAATATAAGACATAATATGAGAATTGATGAAGGTGGGGCTGGAACAATGGCAAAGTGATTAAGTGTACATTCTGCCCTCTCTGAGGACTTGGCTTCAATGCCTTGCACCCATTTGTGGCTCACAGCCAACTCTTCTTGCAACGCAAAAGGATCCATTGCCATTTTCTGGCCCAGATGGTACTGCATGTACATGCTATACATGTTACACAGTATAAATTCATCATCAAATTATATCCTACATCATATAACATATTATTACATATTAATATAGCATATAATTAAGGAATTATACAAATTTACAGTATAAATTTATAAATATACTACATGCTTTTCTATTAGTATATATTATATATAATGAATAATGTACCATGTTCAACATACAATATTATGTCACACAACAGGGAAGTATTCGCCTTGATGAAAACTCAAGGGCTCTGTCAGCATCAGTGTTAGTTTCTACTCTCTTGATCATTCTCTTCCACCCACAGGATCTCAGAGGCAGCATTCAAAAAGTGTGCCGATTTTTGGGCAAACATCTGACTCCAGAACAACTTGATTCTGCTATGAAAAATGCATCCTTTTCGGTCATGAAGGATAATAGGATGTCCAACCACGTGTTGCTAAGAATTCCAAAACATGATATTGACTCCAATATAGCACTTCTGAGAAACGGTGAGTCAATATAGAGCATAAAAGTTGTATTGTAGTAATGGGTAGGTTTTCAATGTTTGTATAAAGCATGAGGCATGAAAATGGGGACGTGCTTGGAAGGGAGCAACATGTTCTATCATATTCTTTCAGAAGAGTCACCCACCAAGCTGTTATTGAGAATCTTAGAACCATGGTTAAGCTTAGGAGGAATGAGAGGTACCTGTGCGCTGTGGCTCTGGGCATGCAATGGATAAGTCCTGTCTATACACTTAGCCCATTCAGTGTCAGTGACATTCTCCTAGTCTGTAAGAAAACTGAAGTAGAGTCACGGTAACAAGACTTTATAATTCAGTGTTTTGTGGGATTACAACAGATGACACGTACAAACATCCATGTGTCTATATGATGGATAGAATGACATTCGTTCATAATAGAATCTGTTGACACATGTAGTAACTTGGATGGCTTCCACTGACTTTATGCTGAGTGACAAAAGTCAACAACATAAATCTATACATAACCTATGTATGTAAAATTCATAAAATGAAAATATACTTACAGATGTAGATTATGTTTTGTTTATGTTTGTGGATCCAGGCTGATGGGGCTTAATGGTTCATTTTGACTAAACTAGTAGTACTATGAGGAGGAGTTTGTAGCTGTGGACTACCTACATATTTCAGTGGAAATGGACAATGAAAAAAATCCCACATGGAGAAAAATGATGTGGAACACATCCATTCTTCTAGGGTAGATTTTATTTTCTGATCACAGCACTGTGTAAATCTTCTCTTACCTTGATACAATCTATGTTGGAAAAATCGTTTAAAGACACACACTTTTGGTGCCAAGTCAAATAACTGTTACTCTCTCATGTGGTTTTCCCCACTGGTGGGTGATGGGATGGAGTTTCACTTTCGAAAACGTCCTCAGTTTTCCCTCAAAGGTTCTAGACTAGGGTTCTCCAGGTGACATTTCTGGTGCTCACAGCTGCCACACTGAAATCATCTCAAGTCCTGTCCCAAGTGTGATAATGGAGTTTGACAACTGAGAGTTGGCATAGAGCAGAAAGTTCTAGGATGTCTTATATTCTTCTGGATGCCAACTGGATTGGTGAGATGAGAGTGTGACAAGCTTGGCTGCACACGTGTGATTTTGCTCATTTTCCTGGTGCTTTTCCTTCTGTGTTTGACAGGCCTTTGTGGGGACTGGAAGAATCACTTCACTGTGGCTCAAAGTGAGGCCTTTGACAAAGTCTATCGGGAGAAGATGTCGAGCCTGGATCCTGGTCTCTTCCCATGGTCAGAAGACTGTTGATTCCCCTCCATCCTAGACAGGATTTCTCAGTGAAGCACTGGTTGTCCTGGAAATCACTGTGTAGACAGGCTGGCATTGAACTCAGAGATCTGCCTGTCTCTGCCTCCTGAGTGCAGGGACTGAATACATGCACCATCACTGCAATGCTGTCTCAATGGATTACTCTAAGCTTTGTAAGAACTGTTATTGTTAGCTACTCATACTTATAAACAAATCTAGACGTGATTCTGTTTTCATCTGGTTGGAAATTAGTCATCTAGAATCAGGAAATTTCAAATGTGAAAATGCCCTCATGTGATTGGCCTTTGAGAGGGCCCTCCCATCTCAAGGTGATACCATCTTTGGGGAAGTGGCTCTTGGATATATTAAAAAGAGCAATCATGGCAAGCCATTGGGAGAAGGCCATTCATTGGTAGCAATCCAGTAAGCATCAGTCCTCCATGGTCTCCAATTCAATTCCTGCCTCAGATTTCCCTGATGAATGACCTGCAAGCTGAATTAACCCTTCCCCTCCCTCACATCAATGGAATGGTGATGAGAATAGCATTATTTTGATTTGACACACATCAGAAAACTCAGCTTTTAAAAAACTTGATGGATCCTGGAGTAGACACATTGGTACCTAGTTTCCAAACTGAATTGTAAGTAATGTATTCATATTAAACACCAATATATTGTTACTTTTAAACAATTACAATGATGCATTTGATGATATTAAAGGGCGTCAGCAGAGGAAAATGCATCCTTGTCTGAGCTTTAACTCTATAGTTAGAAGAAACACACACATTGTTAACCCTTTTCTAGTCAGAATTCAAAACAAGTGGGGGGGGGCTATAGCAGTAGTTCAGCAGTCGATAGCATTGTGGCTCTCATAGAAGACTGGGTCAGCCTGCACCCACACTAGTTCCTCACAGATGCCTTTACCTCCAGCTCCAGCTCTACCAGATCTAGTACCCTCTGCTGGTATCCACAGGCAACATTACTCATGTGCAAACATACAAATAATTTAAAAGTAAATTACACGGACCTGGAGAGCTTGTTTGAAGGTTCTAGGAGGGGAGCGCTGCTACTTATATACCTTTGACTGAAGACCGGTACTTCTTATTTGGGGAAGGTTGTTCTCTTCGACAGCCTCTAGAGGGATGCACATGGAGCTGTGGGCTTGGAAGGGGACACCCACCTAGCCAGCCAGATCAGCCGAATCAACCCTGGCATTCAATGGGGTAACAGATGTAGCAGCCAAATCACCCTCCCATCCTCCCTTCACTAGTGAGGTGTGTAGTGCCGTGTCCCTTAGGCCCATACTTCCCCTTCTTCAAGTCCCCTGACATGTGGCTGCCCGATCCTTTCTACCACTGAATCCCCCAAGAAAGCTGTAGCAGAACAAAGGACCCAACATCAGGCACCAGTACTGCCCTGCTCCTCCACCCGACACTAGAGAAGAGAGGAAGAGACCCCACCTGGAAGGAGATTGGATGGTGACAGTATAAGAACACGTTCAACAACAGAGACACTTATATGACAACACCAGAATCTAGCGATCCTACGCCGGCAAGACCTGGACACCCCAACACAGATAAAGCAGAAGAGAATGAATGACCATAAAAACAACTTTATGAAAGTGATAGAGCCCCTCAAAGAGGATATGAGAAAACCCCTTAAATAAATGGAAGAAATAACAAACCAAAATATGCAAGAAATCAACAAATCTCTTAAAGAAAGCAAGGAAAACCAAGAAAAAAATGAATAAACAGATGAAGGAAACAACTCCAAGTCCATGACCTGAAAACAGAAATAGAGACAATAAAGAAAAAAGAGACTGAGGGAATGCTGGAAATAGAAAAGCTGGGTAAATGATCAGGAACTACAGATGCAAGCATAACCAATAGAATACAAGAGATGGAAGAGAGAATCTTAGGTTCTAAAGATAAACTAGAAGGAATAGATTCGTTGACCAAAAATAATAATAACAATAATCTTAAATCCAACAAATCCTTTTCACAAAATATACAGGAAATGTGAGGCACTATGAAAAGACCAAACCTAAGAATAACAGGTATAGAAGAAGGTAAAGAAGCCCAGCTTAAAGAGCACAACATATATTCAACAAAATCACCGAAAAAACCTTTCAAACCTGAAGATGGACATGCCTATGAAAGTACAAGAAGCTTATTGAACACCATACTGGACCAAAAAATGTTCCCTTACCTCATAATAATCAAAACACCATACATACAGAATAAAGAAAGAGTATTAAGAGCGGCCATGGAAAAATGCCACTAACATAAAGGCAGAGCTATCAGATTTATACCTAAACTCTCAATGGAAACTCTGATGGCCAGAAGGTCCTCAATAGATAATCTACAAACATTAAGAGACCACAGATGTCAGCCCAGAATACTATACCCAAAAGAACTCTCAATTACTATAGATGGAGAGCACAAGATATTCCATGACAAACTCAGATTGAAAAAAAATACATATCCACAAATCCAGCCCTACAGAAATTTCTGGAAGGAAAACTCTGGAAGTTAAATACACTCACAAAAACTTAAGCAATAGGCAATCCCAATTTACCAGAAGTAAAAAAAAAAAATAACAAAAACAGGGAAAATCTACTCACAATTCCACCAACCCCACCAAATCCAAAATAAAGAAAAAGTAAATATCAATCGTCTCTCATTTCCCTCAGTATTTATGGTCTTAGCACGCCTATAAAAAGACACAGTATAACAGAATGGACAAGAAGATAAATTCCATCCTTCTGCTGCATACAAGAAACACACTTCAAATTCAACTGCAGATTGTACATCAGAGTAAAGGATTGGGAAAAGATCTTCTAATCATATGACCCAAGATACAAGCTGGTGTAGCTATCCTAATAGCTAATATCATATGCATATTTTTGTGGATTCATATTCCAAGGTGGTTTTTGTGTCCCTACACTCTGGAGAAAAGATTAAAGATGTCATCTCTCATTGTTTACAGGCCTTTGCCTATATGGGTGTTCCTGATATCTTAAAAAAAATAATGGCCCCGCATATGCTAGCCATTGCTTCACAGCCTTCTGCACGGAACATCATATTTATCATTCATTTGGCATCCCACACAATCCTACGGGACAAGCCATTGTGGAGCACATTCATGCCACCATTAAACAATATTTTAATAAAATAAAAAAGTGGGAATATAGGACCTCCCCCCAATTCTCAATTATCTACCATACATTATATTTTAAAATTTGTCTGTCATGGAGAGAAATTGGAAAAAACCCTCTCAAACATTGGGATGGGTCAGATGGAAGGACATAATTACAGGACAATGGCAACCACCCACCGCCTATTAGCTAGAGTTCAAGGGGCTGTTTATGGTTTTCCCCCAGGAACAGAGAAACGTATCTGGACACAGAACGACATGGATCCTGTGGATCCTGATTTGGAATCTAGTCCTGCTTTACTGGAACCCCTGGCCCATGGAGGGACAGACAGTTTGAGCCTTGGTGAGGAAACACCCTCACCATCCTGATGCTAATTAGTCAGGAGAGCTCCCTGTTTCCCTCTTTCTTTTCCACCAATAGTTCCCTGGCATTACCGCCTGCCAACATTCTGCTGGAAATTTCACCACTGAGTAATTTGACCTTCCTGACATAGGGGAGCCTTTGCTTCCAGAGAGTTCTTAATATTTCTCAACTGCCCAATGGGTCATTCTCAGTGTCATGAATAGTTTTCAGTAATGCTTCCATTGCTGATTTTCACCCCAATGCTAGTATGAGCAATTGCTTGGCTCTTAGAGATGTCCTATACCCTATAAACTTCCAGCGTGAACAGGGGAATTCTACTGCATGGCCCCCTGTACAGAGGCCCCTATGCAGGAAGGTCCCCAGAAACTGTGGCTTGCATAGGTCTCTGCCTTGGGGACACTGTGCACCACAAGAGCCATGTGATTGAAGGGAAAGGGTCTTTGTGGTCATCCAGACATCCCCCTCCCCTTAAATATTCCACAGATAATGGGTCCTTGGGGGAGGGAAAATCTCTCAATTGTTCTTCCAGAACCTGCTCCCTGAGCAACTGCTGGTCCCCGACCGACACTGGTGCCCTGGTAGTTGAGTTCCTGCCCTTGCCCCCATGGTGGTGGAAGACTGACCTGGGGGAGAAGAGATTATCCTCTACCACCCAAGAAGGGACTTTGATATCACTGCTGCCATCATTACTGCCATTGCTGTGTCAGCGGCATTGCTGTTGCTCAGTCCGCCGCGGGCAGAGTCAGTGAAGCTCTGGCTACGCAAAGTGCCCTGAATGTGTATATTCAGTTTGGACTCCTTAACTTAAACCAGCAAACTGCCTTGCTTCAGGAACAAGTTGGTGTATTGTGGTCGGGGCAGCAGGCCTCCTGCTCACACTTTGTCATTCCTCTTGTCTCACCTTATATGAAGTGCAAATGTCTCTGTAGGGGTCAACTGCCTCAGTGCACACTTGGCAGGACCTTGGCATTCTTTTGTAAACTTTACCAATGTTTTGGCTCACCATGTAGTAGAGGTCAATAAGACTCGAGTTACTCCTATTTCAGCAGAGGGCTGGTGGAATGCCATGGCCCAGGTCAGAGGTTGGATACAGCGTTGGGGCGGTGCATTGTCTCTAGGGGTCTTGGGACTGGTAGCGGCCGGGGCAGGGATTCTTGCGCTATGCACGTTCCGACAAATCTTTGCACAAAAGGAACAGTTACATAGACAAGTGTTGCTCAGTCTGGCCCATGGCTCTCCCAGCAGTCATGAGGTCTGGTTACAGATGCTGCAGAAATGAGGATCACCTATGACGGGCAACTTGTAGGGAAACCTCCCACCTAAGACTGGGGATGCCAGGTCCCCCCGAGGATGGGTAAGGGGGAATTTTGTGAATTAAGACCTTAGCTAAGAATTTACTTCCCCCTGCTGCCTTTTCCTGCGGTTACAGCTGCCTGCCCTACACATGAGTAATGTTGCCTGTGGATACCAGCAAAGGGTACTAGATCTGGTAGAGCTGGAGCTGGAGGTAAAGGCATCTGGGAGGAACTAGTGTGGGTGCAGGCTGACCCCAGTCTTCTATGAGAGCCACAATGCTATCGACTGCTGACCCACCCACTTGTTTTGAGTTCTGACTAGAAAAGGGTTAACAATGTGTGTGGTTCTTCTAACTATAGAGTTAAAGCTCAGACAAGGATGCACTTTCCTCTGCTGACCTCTTCAATAT